CGTCGACTCATCTGACCCTAAGGTGACATCTTCATAAGGTGACATCTTCACAAGGTGACATCTTCACAAGGTGACATCACCACAAGGTGACATCACCACAAGGTGACATCTTCACAAGGTGACATCACCACAAGGTGACATCACCACAAGGTGACATCACCACAAGGTGACATCACCACAAGGTGACATCTTCACAAGGTGACATCTTCACAAGGTGACACCACCACAAGGTGACATCACCACAAGGTGACATCATCACAAGGTGACATCACCACAAGGTGACATCATCACAAGGTGACATCACCACAAGGTGACATCTTCACAAGGTGACATCACCACAAGGTGACATCACCACAAGGTGACATCACCACAAGGTGACATCTTCACAAGGTGACATCACCACAAGGTGACATCACCACAAGGTGACATCACCACAAGGTGACATCTTCACAAGGTGACATCACCACAAGGTGACATCACCACAAGGTGACATCACCACAAGGTGACATCTTCACAAGGTGACATCTTCACAAGGTGACACCACCACAAGGTGACATCACCACAAGGTGACATCTTCACAAGGTGACATCACCACAAGGTGACATCACCACAAAGTGACATCACCACAAGGTGACATCTTCACAAGGTGACACCACCACAAGGTGACATCACCACAAGGTGACATCTCCACAAGGTGACATCTTCACAAGGTGACATCACCACAAGGTGACACCTTCACAAGGTGACATCACCACAAGGTGACACCTTCACAAGGTGACATCACCACAAGGTGACATCACCATACTCACTATCCGACCCACAAGATGATTCCACTCCCACAACTGGCAATACGGCGTTCAATCCCCGACCGTCCACAAGTGGTTGGGGCACCATTCCTTTCCTCCGTCCCATCCCAAATCCTTATCCTGACCCCCTTCCCAGTGCTATATAGTCGTAATGGCTTGGCGCTTTTCCCCCCTGATAGTTCCCTCCCACTCGTAGCTTCATGCAATTGAGAGGAATGCTTTGATCCCGGCCGCTGCCAACGGCCCATTAACGACCTCCACCAGTCGTTAATGGGCCTGTGGGACAAGCACATTCCTGACCAGTTAACTATATAAGTCTCCGAACCACCTTTGGCTGCTGATGTTCCGTGTTACTCTAGGATATTAATATGACTTGAAAGTCTCAACAAGAGTCTTCAGACGGCATCAAGAACCTTCAGACACCAACAAGGGCCTTCAGACACCAACAAGAACCTTCAGACACCAACAAGAGCCTTCAGACACCAACAAGAACCTTCAGACACCAACAAGAGCCTTCAGACACCAACAAGGGCCTTCAGACACCAACAAGAACCTTCAGACACCAACAAGAGTCTTCAGACACCAACAAGGGCCTTCAGACACCAACAAGAACCTTCAGACACCAACAAGAGCCTTCAGACACCAACAAGAACCTTCAGACACCAACAAGAGCCTTCAGACACCAACAAGGGCCTTCAGACACCAACAAGAGCCTTCAGACACCAACAAGAACCTTCAGACACCAACAAGAGCCTTCAGACACCAACAAGGGCCTTCAGACACCAACAAGAACCTTCAGACACCAACAAGAGCCTTCAGACACCAACAAGGGCCTTCAGACACCAACAAGACCCTTCAGACACCAACAAGAGTCTTCAGACACCAACAAGAACCTTCAGACACCAACAAGAACCTTCAGACACCAACAAGAACCTTCAGACGCCAACAAGAACCTTCAGACGCCAACAAGAGTCTTCAGACACCAACAAGACCCTTCAGACACCAACAAGAGTCTTCAGACACCAACAAGAACCTTCAGACACCAACAAGAACCTTCAGACACCAACAAGAACCTTCAGACGCCAACAAGAGTCTTCAGACACCAACAAGAACCTTCAGACACCAACAAGAACCTTCAGACACCAACAAGAACCTTCAGACACCAACAAGAACCTTCAGACACCAACAAGAGTCTTCAGACACCAACAAGAACCTTCAGACACCAACAAGAACCTTCAGACGCCAACAAGAGCCTTCAGACACCAACAAGAGTCTTCAGACACCAACAAGAGTCTTCAGACACCAACAAGAGTCTTCAGACGCCAACAAGAGCCTTCAGACACCAACAAGAACCTTCAGACACCAACGAGAACCTTCAGACGCCAACAAGGGCCTTCAGACACCAACAAGAGCCTTCAGACACCAACAAGAGTCTTCAGACGCCAACAAGAGCCTTCAGACACCAACAAGAGCCTTCAGACACCAACAAGAGTCTTCAGACACCAACAAGAACCTTCAGACACCAACAAGAGTCTTCAGACGCCAACAAGAGCCTTCAGACACCAACAAGAGCCTTCAGACACCAACAAGAACCTTCAATCTTCAGCTTGTCGGTGAATGGAAGAAGCCTAACAAGAGGTTGTCTCATGATAGTAAACAAGGCCACGAACAAAGCTTCGGGACGCGTGGGCTAACAAGACTAGTGACCTATAATGACCTAAACAGGAGTTATTCACTCCCAAGAAACCTCTACAGTGTATAAGAATACAGGAAACTACAGGAAACTACAGAAGGCTTATTGACCCCATTCGAGCCAGCTATTATTTATTGCCTTGACAAAGTCAATTATATAAGACACTAATGTGACCTATTAATGTATATTAGTCTTACTAATATGATTAATATGACGGGGTCGTTACAACTACCAGTTATAATTGGCTGGTTTGATGGCGTAGTGTGAGGCGTGTGCCAGATGAGAGGTAGTTAGGACGGAGTTCCTTGTCACGAGACGACCGGCGGATGAAATGGCGTTATCTTGAGGTTATCTTGAGATGATTTCAGGGCTTTTTAGTGTCCCCGAGGCCCGGTCCTCGACCAGGCCTCCACCCCCAGGAAGCAGCCCGTGACAGCTGACTAACACCCAGGTACCTATTTTACTGCTAGGTAACAGGGGCATAGAGTGAAAGAAACTCTGCCCATTGTTTCTCGCCGGCGCCCGGGATCGAACCCGGGACCACAAGATCACAAGTCCAGCGTGCTGTCCGCTCGGCCGACCGACGTGGTTCAAGAGCTGGAGCTCAACCAGACACACATGATAGGTATACAATTGACAGAGGGAATTAATATTGTAGAAAAAGCTTAATTTGCCCTAACTAGAAGGTTTCTAACCCAAACAGCCCACCTAACCCAAGTTAACCCAACCCAGCCTAACTTAAACTAGCCCAAGCGACCCATCTAACCTAACGAGGCTGATATTACTGAACTTAAAAGTTTACCCTTAACGATAGAGGGAGGAGGAAGAAGGATGGGGGAAGAGGAAAGACTTGAGAACAATCAGAAAGTGATCGACTACCACGAGGAGAAAGCTCAAAATCGTAAGTTATATCATCCTCAAGGTCGACTACATTCTTGATGCTATCTCCAACCTCACTTGTTATAGCAATGTGTTTGTGTAAGTCTTCTCTCTAAACACTACACCTTCCACACCCACCACCACCACCACACTATCACCACGACACCACCACCACAACACCACCACCACCACCACGACACCACCACCACGACACCACCACCACACCACCAACACCACCACCACGACACCACCACCACACCACCAACACCACCACCACGACACCACCACCACACCACCAACACCACCACCACACCACCAACACCACCACCACACCACCAACACCACCACCACAACACTTCCTCCTGCTGGCCTGGGGATAACACCTTGACACATTACCTCTGCCCCCAGCATCTCCCCCCACCGTAGCCACGAGCCCTGGAGACTAATATTCAGGAGTGAGGTGAAGCGAAGGGAACCCACCTGCCGGCGGGGCTGGCGGCACGCCGTCAAGGTCTCCACCACCACCAGAAGCACAGGTTGTACCATCAAGGCTCTGAGGTGGCAGCATCAACAATTCTTTATTTGCAGGCGATGAGTCACAATAACGTGGCTGAAGTATGTTGACCAGACCACACACTAGAAGTTTGAAGGGACGACGACGTTTCGGTCCGTCCTGGACCATTCTCAAGTCGATGAGAATGGTCCAGGACGGACCGAAACGTCGTCGTCCCTTCAAACTTCTAGTGTGTGGTCTGGTCAACAATGCTTTATTTGTGTGGGTGCTGAGGCTGCGAGAGCATCCCACTGATCGTATATCCCTGCCGAATCACCGACCCCTTCTGCTAGGAATTATTTTAAAACAAACTCCATGCAGAGGAGAGGAAGGCTGACGTAGCAATCTGGGAAGCTATGCGGACACCAAGGCCACCAAGTCCGGCAGGAAGACTTCCTAGTCTCCACCGTCAGTCATCCACAAGATGGTTGAGGAGCTTTTCAAGCATGGACTTGAAAAGGGTCTCACATTCATTTTAGCAATACAGTACTGTAAGATAGAGAACATCTTAGAAAGTAAGTAAGCTTAGGCTGAGACAGGCAGGTTGAAAACATAATTCAACCTGCCCGATCATCGTGGTTTGTCACTCCTTTCATGCATCCAAGACTGTAATTTTTTGTTGAATTATCTGCATGTCTCTTGCAAATTGTGTATACAGTATACCTAGGTCATAAAAGTATTTATGTGTACGTCTGATACCATACTACTTGTGTAAAGGAGGAAATGTATATGTTTATCTCTCAGAATGTTTGGTAATATGTTTATTGCTTGTGATGTGTGTCTATGTATGTATTAACACGATGTACTGAACGGGGTGAGAATAGCTTGAGCTACCTCATCCCTTTGTGTGTATTTTACCTCAATAAACTTATTTCAATTTCAATTTCAAGCACCCTTCTTAAGTCAGTGATCTTTGCATCCAACATCTCGTCAGTTGCATGTAAATCATTATGGACCTCCCTGGCTCATTTACGTGGAGGTCTGTCACAACAGTTTTTACTTGCTCGGTGATGTGTGAGTTGTGGCAGACTACTTCACACTTGGGATGGATTATGAATGAGGCCTAGAGTTGCTCCCTGCTCCTGGATTTTGCCTGTGTCCTCCATAATGATATCTAGGGTTCCCACACGAGTGCCATCATCCAGGGCCAGATGTTTAGCTCACTTATCATGCTATCAGTGACCTTTTGGAAGAGCAGGCAAAGCAGGAAGGGACTAGGGGCCCCTGTTGAAAGCTTCGCACCAGTCTGTCTCAACTCCCCAAATGAAAAGTTTTAAATATCTATAAATGAAATGGATGAATGGATAGAGAGGAGATAAATAGTTACAAAAGGCTCGGAGGTTAGACCGCAAAACACTTGTGAATGTTTGCAATCACTGTGCAACAGTCAGTGCACGAGGCAGTGTATGCACGTGTCATGCACGTGTCATGCACGTGGCGACGCACGTGGCGGCGCACGTGCCTCGTGACCAGCACCAACAGGGAAAGGGAAGATTATGAGGCAACAGGTGATAACAGGAAGCTGTGAAGATGACAGTGAACAGTGATGGTGGTGGTGTGTGGTGATGGTGAGAGTGTGTGGTGATAGTGAGAGTGTGTGGTGATGGTGAGAGTGTTTGGTGATAGTGAGAGTGAGTGGCGATGGTGAGAGTGTAGTGTGCTGATAGTGAGAGAGTGTGTGGTGATGGAGAGTGTGTGCTGATATTGAGAGAGTGTGTGGATATGGTGGTAGTGTATGCTGATAGTGAGAGAGTGTGTGGTGATGGTGGGAGTGTGTGCTGATAGTGAGAGAGTGTGTGGTGATGGTGGGAGTGTGTGCTGATAGTGAGAGAGTGTGTGGTGATGGTGGTAGTGTATGCTGATAGTGAGAGAGTGTGTGGTGATGGAGGGAGTGTATGCTGATAGTGAGAGAGTGTGTGGTGATGGTGGGAGTGTGTGCTGATAGTGAGAGAGTGTGTGCTGATATTGAGAGAGTGTGTAGATATGGTGGTAGTGTATGCTGATAGTGAGAGAGTGTGTGGATATGGTGGTAGTGTATGCTGATAGTGAGAGAGTGTGTGGTGATGGTGGGAGTGTGTGCTGATAGTGAGAGAGTGCAGTGACTCCACACAATCATCACTACACAAATACGACAAGAAAAATATATTGAAAAAACTAACATTTCCAAAATTAGTTATAGCCTCGTCTTTCCACAACAAAATATACCAACTTATTGTATAAAATAAATGACATTAACAACTGTGGCAAACATATTCAAAGAAATATGAACAGGTTCAAAATATTTATACAAATACTGAGTTTTGTAACAAGCACATGCAGGTCCTGGACCCATGGGGCTAGTTGAGCTGTTTGTTGCATAAGGTGAGAGAGAGAGAGAGAGAGAGAGAGAGAGAGAGAGAGAGAGAGAGAGAGAGAGAGAGAGAGAGAGAGAGAGAGAGAGAGAGAGAGAGAGAGAGAGAGAGAGAGAGAGAGAGAGAGAGAGGGGAGAGAGAAACAGAGAGAGAGAGAGAGAGAGGGAGAGAGGGAGAGAGGGAGAGAGGGAGAGAGAGAGAGAGAGAGAGAGAGAGAGAGAGAGAGAGAGAGAGAGAGAGAGAGAGAGAGAGAGAGAGAGAGAGAGAGAGAGAGAGAGAGAGAGAGTGAGAGAGAGAGAGAGAGAGAGAGAGAGAGAGAGAGAGAGAGAGAGAGAGAGAGAGAGAGAGAGAGAGAGAGAGAGAGAGAGAGAGAGAGAGAGAGAGAGAGAGAGAGAGAGGAGAGAGAGAGAGAGAGAGAGAGAGAGAGAGAGAGAGAGAGAGAGAGAGAGAGAAACAGAGAGAGAGAGAGAGAGAGGGAGAGAGGGAGAGAGGGAGAGAGGAGAGAGAGAGAGAGAGGGAGAGAGAGAGAGAGAGAGAGAGAGAGAGAGAGAGAGAGAGAGAGAGAGAGAGAGAGAGGAGAGAGATGAGAGAGTGAGTGAGTGAGAGGAGAGAGAGAGAGAGAGAGAGGAGAGAGAGAGAGAGAGAGAGAGAGAGAGAGAGAGAGAGAGAGAGAGAGAGAGAGAGAGAGAGAGAGAGAGAGAGAGAGAGAGAGAGAGTGAGTGAGTGAGTGAGAGAGAGAGAGAGAGAGAGAGAGAGAGAGAGAGAGAGAGAGAGAGAGAGAGAGAGAGAGAGAGAGAGAGAGAGAGAGAGCGAGAGAGAGAGAGAGAGAGAGAGAGAGAGAGAGAGAGAGAGAGAGAGAGAGAGAGAGAGAGAGAGAGAGAGAGAGAGAGAGAGAGAGAGAGAGAGAGAGAGAGAGAGAGAGTGAGAGAGAGAGAGAGAGAGAGAGAGAGAGAGAGAGAGAGAGAGAGAGAGAGAGAGAGAGAGAGAGAGAGCGCACACTAACACTGTAATACATATCTCCACCAAAAACAGCGAGGATACATGTATACGTGTCTCTTCAAACTACAGGTGTTCAATTACCTTTGAACACCCGGCCTGACCTTCCCCCTAGGACCCAGTCGTATCTATTATGTTGTAATTTGATTTTTATCCTCATTTTTTAGATCGGTTGGAAGTAAATTTTACATCAGGTTGAAATTAGATATAATTTGGGATTAC